CTAATGTACACTGCATGGTTGTTTCAAGTACACCTTCTGCACTTTTTTTTAGGCTGGTGTGGCACAACCTCCACAGAGCCTTGGGCTCATTTTCGATCAACCCACTCTATTGAGGCGGTTGCAAGCTCGGTGCTTGTCGATAAACTGGCCCTGCCGACTGCCAACAAGGGACGGGCTTATTTCCGGCGGACATAAATGATAATTAAAGAAAAAGTGTTTATTTGTAGACTACTGAGTTTTTGCCGACTAACAAAGGCTGTGGCGCGTTGCAAGCTCAGGTAGTCGACAAATACCTCCACACAAGTCGACACATTCTTGGGAGGCGAAATGGGGCGAGAGGAGACAAGTGCCCTGCGGTGGGCGTAGTGCTGCGGGCGGGCATGCTGTCAGTGGGCGTGGCTTGGGGGCGAGCTGTCAGTGATAGTGGCGCTGGACCAGGTTGACGGTGGGCGTGTGGGCACGCGTGTGGGCGGTCGGCTTGTGGGCGGTCAGCATCTGGGCAGGCGGCATGCGGTTGGTTGGCCACTGTCACCAAGAAGCTTTTGCCCTTTTTCCAATAGCTCCTTCTTCACACCATTGAGGATGAGCATTGCAGCATCATTGTTTCTTCCCTTCCCTAGTGTGACACAATAAATTCTGTCACCAAGCACAGAACATATCATCTGACATACAACATGAATTAACAGTAAATAACATCAGCAACAATTAATTGAGGGGGGGTACCTGTGCTGTTATAAAGAAGGCATGTTTGTCAAATCTATACCAGTCAGCTTGGTGTGGATGCACACAGAGGTGAAAATGGGATGTACAATCAATAGCCCCCATGGCACTGCCAAATGGGTGTGGCTGAAGATTGGGTGGTGTAAAGATTGGCACAAGCCAATGCAAAGAAATATATATTTTCGCAGGATGAATTTGATTTCCCATTGGACAGTAGTTTGTTTGGTTGACATTAAAATAAATGGCCAAAGTGCTGTATGTAGGGTAATGGCGAAGCCAGTGCAAGACAAGAACAAGGCAGTGGTGAGGATGGAGGGCAGTTATTGTCTTGCGCCTGCATCCTTTTGTGGAGTGAGGTGGACAAAGATGAGGATGAAGATCATCTAGAATGGCAAAGAAAAAATCTTCAAAAATTCCAGTGAATTCATGGATCTTGAATGTGGTAAGGGGAAGCATTTGGCACATGGGACAATGAGGTGTAGGTAC